CCAGTGTGGCTCTCATGCAGGTGATTATCGGGGTGTGCTTTCTATGTAATGTTCCCTCAACCCTATCCCCACCCCTCCAGTTTCTGTGCCTAGCAGAAATCATGCTGCTCTCCTTGATGAAGCATTGAGTTTCCTATGGAGGTGTAGGAAGAGCACGATTTGGCTCACGTCAAAATCCTTTGCAGTGAAGCTGCACGGAAGAGGATTTTAGGCTTCCATTTGACGTTTCAGACAACGCCTGAGTGTTACAGGATCCTCTTGCTTGTTAAAAAAGCACCAGATGAGAAAGGCTACTGGTTAATAAGGGACACTTTTTACATTAGCACAGAGAGGTTGGCTTGAGATAAATTCAGTGTAACGTAGGTGTGTTTGTAAGCCGTGAAAGGGACCATCTCTCTGCTGGCGACATAAGTTTTCTGGTATGGATTTTGTTCTGAAAAAGGATGACTGGCATTCGGTAGAATCATTCCAAAATTCACCTGGAAGGCATCCACATGGTGCCTTGTTTTCTCCTGACATTCTGGGCACCACGAGGAATTATTCTTGTCTTCAGCACTGGCAGGAGACTTTTCCTGAACACCCGCTCCTCTTTGGAGTTGTGGGTGCGAAGGGGTCAGAGTGACCCCGTCTTCATGGAGCTTTCGGACACCATGGGGACAGTGTGGCACGATGTCGGGCTCGGGTGGGATGGAGGCTTTCCCCAGAAAACAGCTGCCGATTCCAGGGCGGCCCTCGACCCCTCCTCCCTCTGTTCCTCCACGTCATGTCTGAATTAAGGCTGTTCTATCATAGCGGGGGTGTCATGTTAACTGGAAGTGTGCTTTTGTAAATAAATTAATGGTACATTTGCCAAGGACAGCGAGATTTGATTTGATGAATCCAGTGTGGAAAAGGAGAAGGGGCTTGGCGGGGTGGGGACATGTGTGATGGGAGCAGAAAGGAGCAGCCATGAAGGCTGGTGGGATGGAGGGGTCGCGCCCGCATTTCCATGGGGTCTGTCGATGTTTGTGCCACTAGACCTGAACCTCTGTCTCCACTTCTAAAACCTGCATGGTGAGGAAGCCCCTGATGGGCCTGAGTTGTTACTTCCCATGGCCATTGCTGGGAAGGGCCCCGGACGCCTCTCCTGGCCGGTGACGGCCCCAGGACTAGACACTGGCTTCGTCCTGACCTCTGCAGGGGGCTTGGGCTCCACACACAGCAGGTACCTGCGCATGCCTTTGGACGTGAGATGTTGGCGCTTGGCTTGGAGGCCACCGCGATCTGGGTGTGGTCAGGACTGGCTCATCCTTTGGGGAGAGAGCACCTGCCCGGGGGCTTCTCTGAGGTGCATAGCCCTGCAGTGCCCTCACAGGATGCCCTGTCCTGCGGGGACTTCCTGCCATTCCCCTGGACCCTCAGGTGTGGGAGCCAAGTGTGGTGTGTGTGTGTCCCGGGTGGGGGTGCTGAGGACACCACGTGCCTGCTCGTGCGAAGACCCGAGGCACTGCATGGGCTCATTTCCAGGGGCCTGTTGGCATCTGGGGGCCTGTGGGTGTCTTTCTACTGGCAGGAAATAATGGGTGGCCCATGTTACCTTTTTTGTCTTTTTTTTTTTTTTTTTTGCCAAAAAGCCCTAATGCCAACGTTGCAGTCCCGCTGTGGGAACCACCCATCTCAGGCTCACTGGCCCTTCTGTTTCTGGGCTGTTGCAGTGTTGTGTTGGGATAACTGTGTTAACTTCGTTTGAATTTTCTTCCTGTTCCTTTGGGATAAGTGTCGATAGCTTGTGCTGCTTGTTCACCCCAGAGGCAAGGGTGTCCTTTAGGCCTGGCAGAGCACAGCGGTGCAGGGAGGTGCTGGGCCTCGGCCTCCCTTGTCCGCAGCCTCCCTTGTCCGCAGCCCTCACTGCACGTCTGCTCTTCGCTCCTCGTGCACACGGCCGGGGTCACGGGCTGCTCACTCTGCTGTTTGAGATCGTCTGAAAAGGTGATGCTTACACTGAAGGGAGATTGGGGGTGTGCGGCTGATTTTAAATAGGAGGAAATGACGGTAACAGAATGAGCAATGCCTAGCACTTAGTCTCAGGCCTGAGAAATTGTGTTTTAGAAGCAAGGTATCCTGAACTCCGGTTTTCTTCAAATTAAATCTTTTAAAGAGTCCACAAATAACAAATAGTTAAAGCCTAAAACTATGTAACAGAGGGCCTAGAGCCCAAGCCACTGCCACCTCTGATTCCAAGACACCTCAGCAACTTGGTCCTCTTCCTCAGAGAATCCCGCTTCTGCTCCTCCCTCCACGCTCCTTTTCCTCCCCCTGCCCCTCCCTTTCACTTGGACAGCCCTCCCCTTCCCCCACTTCCTCGGACAGCTTTCTTCCTCTTCTTCTCCCTGCCTGTCCTTGGGCAACCTCCTTGGAACTCCGGTTGAAATTCACTGGTCTGTGGGGCCGCCCATTTGACAGACGAGCATGCTGAGGCCAAGGCACAAGTGAGTGACTCAGACCTGCCCAGAGGCTGACCCAGAGGCCGTACCAACGGGTTGTCCCTAATGCAAGAGAAGCAATGATGCGGCTTCACTGATCTCCAGGGAAAGCAGGTCGATAACAGGTTATAAACATGGGAACATTTTGGAAAAGCCGTCGTCCACCTGTCAGCTCCATCTCTCTTGCCCGGAAGATGTAGGGAGAACCTGCCTTCAGCCCACCCTCATCCCGTAACAGGACAGAGGACAAGGGCAGAGACCCAAGTCCTGTCAGTGCCCTCAGGAAACCCCCGTTTCCTCCTCATGGTGGAAGTGGAAACCATCCCGCTGGATGATCTTCCCGGGGAGACCCTCCACCCTCAAAGCGAGGAATCTGGTGTGAGCGCACACACATTCTTGGTGCCATCACTTTCTGCAGCTGAACACTGCGTACGTGGCCCGTTATTCTTGCTAGTCCGGTGTTACTGGGTCCTGGGAGTTTGTGGGCTGATGGCAAGTGTTTACCATTGTGTTTAGAGAGAACAGAACTTTTTTTGTGTCGAAATCACATGATAACCATTGCCATGTGATTCCTTGGGTTGATTGGGGCGGGGGATGCTCAAGTTTTTTCTGAGGTCTAAGTGCTTGTTTGAGACAGTCTCACTTTGTCACCCAGGCTGGAGTGCAGTGGTGCGATCTTCGCTCGCTGCAACCTTTGCCTCCTGTGTCAAGCAGTTCTCCCTGCCTAAGCCTCCCGAGTAGCTGGGATTATAGGTGTGTGCCACCACGCTTGGCTAATTACAAAAATTTCTAATACAGGAAGGGTTTTGCCGTATTGGCCAGGCTGGTCTCAAACTCCTTACCTCAAGAGATCGGCCCACCTTGGCCTCCTAAAATGCTGGGATTACAGGCTTGAGCCACTGTGCCCGGCCCGATCCTGACATCTTTTAAAGCTGCCTTCATGTACCAAAAGCCAGTCTATGTTTGAAAATCAGCCTTGTTGAAGAGCCTAAGAGGAGAGGGATATACTTCAGCTAGGTAAATAACTATGCATATGTTAAAAATATGGGCCAAAATCTATCGCAAATATTAACTCTTCTGCTTTGCGTTTTATATCCATTAATGGTTATTCTTTCAGTATTAAGATTTTTAAAGATTCTTTTGATAATTGTGAACAAATTACTATTAAAACTCAGCTGCATTTGTAACACTTTAAAGAACTAACTGATGACATTATTTTCTCGGAGGCATTTTGGATAGTTACATAATTGTTTATCTCTTAGCCAGAAATCTTTTTTTTTTTTTTTCCAGAGCAGAAACCTGAAAAGAAACATTCCTTTGCATTAAGTGCTATTTCACTGTGTGACAATCAAGTTTTGAATGTGAGAACAAGATCATCGTGTATTTTTGGGATAATTCTTGCTTAATAGTGATAATGCTAAGTGTTAAAATTATGGAACAGTTTGTTTCTTTGAAAATTACTATTTGCCTGCTCACCAGATGGGAGCTGATGATAATGTGGATGTAAAAATTAAATTGTATTTAGCTTGTATAAAAGAAGTTTAAAAAAGCTTTTTTGTTTTGTGCTACTACTGAAGTTGCTTAGCTGTGGAAATGAGGTGATTGCAGGCACCTAGAATTTGATCTCCTTCACTTCCACGACGGGAAGAAATTCTCCAAGAAGCGCAGGAATCTGACTTTCTGATATTGAGACTCCTAGGCGTCAAGCCCCATGGAAGGGGTGGTGATTACATGAGCGTTGGCGTTGATGTGGGCATCCTCCAAGCCGGACGCAGGGAGCAGGGAAGGGCAGAAAGAACAGGCCCCTCAGGAGCCATGAGAAAATAAAGTGTTGGCAGCAGTGGTGAGGGTTGGTGTCAGCGGCCAGGAAGAGGTGGCAAAGGGGGAGCATGTGCCTCAAGGCAGCCCTGGAACCCGCAGTCCCTGCAGTGAGGTCTGATCTGCAGGGGACATGGACGGCCAAGCGGCAAGGCCCACAGACAGCCTGGACTCTGCTGCCTCAAAACTCTGGTGGACGTTGCAAACGGCCCCACAGGGTTGCAGTGCACATTCCTCGGACAGAAAGAAGACGCTTGGAACTGTTCCCGGCACGAAGCCAGTGCCCTGTGAACAGTGGCTGCTGCTGTCGTGACTGAGTGCCGTCCAACTGGGGACATTTGCTCTGCTCAGTTCACTGCCTTCAACAAGCTTGACGCATTGAACGAGGGAGGGCTCAGTCGATAATGTACTCTGTAAATACTCTCTCCCGGCTAGAGTGAGCAAAGCCCAGGGAGCGGGTGGTTCTTCAGTATTACTCAGGTGTTTGTGGCAGGGCCAGCTGTGCGGCTGCCAGAGCGAATGTGACCAGGAAGCCTCTGTCCCCCCGAGGTGGCCAGCGATCCTGTTACATGTGCCATAGGCAGAAGGTGGGCACTGCTGGGGAACTTGCTCATGTTCCTGTTTTCTGATTGGAAATTCAAGGTTTCTGAGCATCCTACTTCGAATTTGTACATTGCTGAGACTTGTACACATTTCAACGCTTGTTTTTCTGCTTTTCAGATCTATACAACCTGGCGTTTGGCCGTGGCTTCCAGGACAGGCTGGATGCAGAGTGAAGTCCTCTCCTCACTGTCAATGTTTGCAGATGTCTTCTTGTATAAACTTCGTATTTCTTGAGACTTTCAATTAGGTTTTTACTTAACTGGACTTTTAAAATTGCATGCACATAACTCTACCAGTTAGAATCTTGAGCTAACATGGGTTTTGGTTTTTGGTTTTGGTTTTACTTTGATGAATGTTTAACATTTGCATGCTGGATGTGGGGTGGAGGTCATTTATCTGCTTTTCATTGCCTTCTTGGTTATACTTAGTGACTTTCAGGTAAGGTGTGGAAGGCGTGGTACAGGGTGAATTGCAGGCCGCACTGTGGCGCCGTGGAGGACAGGTGCGGGCTGCAGTGGTGTGCACAGTGGATGAGAGACAAGAGGAGACTTCCATCCTTGAGGGAAACACACAACAATTTAAAAAACTGATCGTCTAGCTTACATGAGGTCCAACAAATTCAGTTGGCAAAGTTTACTTCCAAGTTAATTTAGTAATTTTTCCCCTAAGTCATTAATTTAGTAGCTTATGTTTAAATATATTCTTTTGTCTAAAGGAGGCCATAAATTCTAAAATGAATGACTAAACATGTAATAATTTAGGCATACAGCACCTGAAGGGAAAACTGCCAGTATGCTACAATATTGGATACAGATGCTTTTAAAAATATAATGTAGCATTCTTACAATGCATGTGCTCTTAGCGTGTAACTTGGTGGGTAGTTTTGAACTATATTTGTGGGAATGTGTATCTTGAATACTTGAGGCTACCACTGCAGATGTGTGTGTGAGATGTATAAATACTGAATTATTCTCCCTTCCCTTAAATGAAAACATTAGCTCCCTTTTATTTTCATTTTTATTTTTTATTTTTTGAAGTGGACTCTTGCTCTCGTTGCGCAGGCTGGAGTGCAATGGCACAATCTCGGCCCACTGCAATTTCTGCTTCCCGGGTTGAAGTGATTCTCCTCTCTCAGCCTCCTGAGTAGCTGGGACTACAGGCACCCGCCACCATGCCCAGCTAATTTTGTATTTTTATTAGAGATGGAGTTTTGCCATATTGGCCAGGCTGGTCTTAAACTCCTGACTTCAGGTGATCTGCCACCCCGACCTCCCAAAGTGCTGGGATTACAGGCGTGAGCCACCGTGCCCAGCCAGCTCCCTTCTGTAATGATTTTTTATACAGTTGTTTTTGCTTTTTGTTTTTTGAGACGGGGTCTCACTGTGTCACCCAAGCTGGAGTGCAGTGATGCAAATCTAGGCTGACTGCAGCTTCACCTCCTGGGCTCAGGTGATCCTCCCACCTCAGCTTCCTGAGTAGCCTGGGAATAGACATATTCACCACGCCCAGCTAATTTTTTTTTTTTTTTTTTTGTATTTTTAGTAGAGACAGGGTTTTGCCATGTTTTCCAGGCTGGTCTCGAGCTCCTGGCTCAAGCGATCTGCCCGTCTCAGCCTCCAAACTGCTGGGATTACAGGCGTGAGCACCACATCTGGCCCATTTTTTTTTTTTTTTCCTTCCAGGATTAGAAGTCGACTTTCAGAAAACCCTTCAACCTTGCAAACTAATTTCCATAACAATATGCTCTAGGATAAAAAGAAGACAGAAAGAAAGTATGTGTGGACTGCAGTTAAAAATTTTCTACACAGCATAGCTTAGGAGAGTTGACATTTACAAGAGCAGGAGGCCCCTTCAGTGCCTTCTAGGCATTGGGAATGGCGGTCTGTGGGCGACCTAACGTGTGCGGCGTCCTGAGACTTGATCGTGGTGCTCACGCTTTTCCCGAGGGCCCACCGGAGTAAAGAGATCTTCTTGCAGTCCGGCCAGCCAGAGGCAAGCTGCTGGAGAAGAAAACAGTAAAAGACAGATGTACACGGTGTTGTTGTGGCAGAGAGGTTAAACCAGGCTCACTCTGTTTTACAGTTAAAAAAAACTAATAATGAAGTCCTTGAATATGTATTGCATTTCAGATTTTAAAGCAGTTATGGGTTGTCTGTGTGTCTCTCTAGCTCCCGTTCGGGGCTCCCTGTGAAGAGAGCTCAGAGACGCCACCTTTCCTTGCTGAGGTGAAGGGTCTGGAGAGTGTGAACCCATGTGAGGGGGTGACTGACCTGGGGGGAGCTGGGTCAGCGGTGGATCCACCCCATACACGTTTCTGTAGGGAATCCACAGTTCAAGTCTTTATGATATGGGTAACATAACCTGGAAGAGTGTTATTTTAAGAAGTAAGTGCCATGCTCTTTTTTCCTCATACTTCCCATGTTTAAGCAGCATTGAAGGATAAGGCACTAGTAGCATGTGGTTTGGAAACAATCTTGTTGGTTATTGTACCTGAATCTGATACTAAGGTGCCTGGTAACAGAAGTTTTCCTTAATAACATGGAACTCTGATGAATCTGTTGCCCAATTGGCTGAGCAGTCTGAGTAGTGCCCTGGCAGCTAAAGAGCCTAGAGGAAGCCTTGGGGAAGCCGCTGGATGGCAGGAGGCACCCCCCTTGATTGAGGGAGAGAGGTGCAGTTTGCAGGGACCCCCACGTGCACTTGTGGCTCTCTCCGCCCCCTGCTGGCTGCCAAGCAGCCTCGCCACAGTCGTGCCTCAGCGTGAATGTTCACGGGGCAGGCCAAGCTTTTGTTCCAGAAACACTGACTTCAGAAACCGCAGGCTGTGTGTGTTGAGCATGGCAAGAAAGACTTACGTGTGTCTTAAACCTCTTGAACAAAGCAATTGATGTTTCAAATGCATCTCCAAGGCTAATGACTTTGGCTATGGTCAATATTCAGGAGAAATAGGGTTGATGAAATAGAAGCACAGAGTGGCAAGTGAGGTGCTTGTGCCCCGTATGACTAAGCAATGTCCTGGCCGTTCCACACCATGGCCTCTGAGCAGCCAGCGTGCAGATACGGGTCAATTTAGATGGACTCCTGAACTGTCGGCCGTCCGGAGAAGTACGAGGAGTTGTGCCTATGATCATGGTTCCCGCTACGTGCCAGCAATGTGCGCGTTCCGATTTCAGCATCAGGGCAGACACAGCCCTGAACACTATCACTGAGTAAAGTCCCAGTGCGCCCCCCAGGTGGGCGCCCGCTGACGCTAACCCGAGGCCCCGGCCATTATTATCTACCAGTGCACTAGAAACAGCCTTTTACAAATACCCTCAATGAGAGCTTCTCGTTCTTTCTCCCCCCTGGAAAAGTAGGTTTTTAGACTGAACATTTTGATCTCACTCCCAAAAAAGTTTATCGCCTCTTCTGTGTGGCACCGGCCCGGACTTAGCGTGGCAAGACCCCGAGATGTGCCGTGAGTACCTGCATGCTGAGATGGCTGGGCGCAGTCTCCTGTGATTGCACCAGCATTAAAATCCGCTTGTTTTTTTTTTTTTAATGTTGAGCCTAAATTTTCTTGAGCCTCCAATTCCCATTATGAGGAACCTACCTTGATGCTGAGGGTAGAAATTGACTGAATGGTTTTATATATTGTAGTCATTGTCCTGAACGCACCATGCATTTGTTCTCTTTGGTCTTTGGCTGTTGACCTCATTTTCCCCCTTGTAAACTGGGGATTGTTAAATTACATCTAAGCAATATTGGGACTAGTTTATGGTTTTTTTGCCAAGAGACAATACTGAAACATACTCTTCTGTTTGTTTTTTCCTTTGTGAGACAAGGTCTTACTCTGTCACCCAGGCTTGAGTGCAGTGGTGTGATCTCGGCTCACTGCAGCCTCGACCTCCTGGGCTCAGGTGATCCTCCCACCTCAGCCTCCCGAGTACCTGGGACCACAGGCACATACCGCTATTCTGGGCTAAAAGAAATATATGCCTATCCTCATGTTTGTGTGTCACACTTGGTGATTCACGTGGGAATCTGAAGATCCGTACCTAACGCAGGAAGCATTTCATTTTTTTAAAACTTGATGTCTAAAATTTTCCAGAAATTCTCAAGTTTTGATTTTTCTTGTGCGACTTAGTTCTCACGAATATTTTTCAAAGGTTTTTTTTTTTTTGTAAACCCTTGGCATGCAACTTATTTTGAGCACTGGTAATTAAAATAACAAGATTTTAACATACAGCTCAAATGGTTAGAAATGCTTAGCACTCATTTCTTGCTTTTCTGAGTCTTAAACTTTCTTCACTTT